CCCCCCCCCCCCCCCCCCCCCCCGCCAATGTTGAGCTTGTGTTATGGTAAATTACCAAAAGCTATTTCCGTGTTGTTCATACAAGATTGAACTGGGGGACATGGAAAGGCAAAATTTTTTTGCTAATGTCCATTATCTTTGCAGCATGGGCAACAATGGTCTCAGAGGTTATTTCAAAGATTATCTGAGACACACTGAACTTAGGTGTGATAATTTAATACTGGCTTTTTGACAATCATTTAACAATTATTCGCCGAAGGCGAGGTGATTATCGTTGAAAATTCGCCGAGACGAAGGTGAATATTCCCCAATAATCAAGGTGAATATTCCCCAATAATCACCGAGCCTGAGTAGAATAATTGTTTTAGTATTTTTACCCAACTCTTTTGTATTTTTTTTGGGACTGAATTTATTTTAATTTCACTTATTTCTTTATCAGTAACTTCCACAAAACAGCTAGCCGCCATTTCGAGATTGTCACCACCTAAAATATATGCATGAAACGCACGATTTTTGGTATATCTCCAATATTGAGCTTGTTTTTGCCAAGAGGACAAGTTTTGGGCGCAAACGCCGACAGACATGCATTAGAATTTAATGCAATTATCTAAATCGTATCAAAAGATGATTCATGTACGCTATAGTTAATGAGCTTTTTGAAATCGTTCTTTATAATTTTTATCATAAAAGTATGGTCAAATTTAATATGACCCGAGAAAAGTGATGATTGTCTACAAAGTAGACATAAAGTTTAGCCATGCAGGTAATGATTCCATTTCTTTTTTCTGAACTTTATAGCTATGTTCTAGCAATGGCCAATCTGTTCAGATAGTCCAGTAAGGGGCCGTTTACATGGAGCATTTTCAACCCCGGGGCTGAACTCAGCCCTGTTTACCGGGTTGAAATTTCAGCCCTGTCTGTAATACAAAACTGCATGAAAATCAAACGCGCGATTACATGACAAAATTTTCAACCCAGGGCTAAATTCAACCCCGGGGTTGAAATTTCAACCCTGATTCAGCTAGCAGGGTAAAAATTTCAACCCCGCGGAGTTGAACTCGGCTCTGGGTTGAAAATTTTGTCATGTAGTCGTTTCAACCCAGGGCTGACTTATCATGAGTTATTCGAGCATACGTGGTAGTGACTATTTATTACAAGAAAAGAAAATAAAGGCTTTTTTACTTCCGATAATCGATGCCGAGAACGTATGGTATAGCGTTTAACCCCGGGGTTGAAATCGTCCATGTAATCGCAAAAAATTTCAACCCTGTTAACAGGGCTGAGTTCAACCACGAGGTTGAAAGTTGTTCATGTAATCGGGCCCCTAAATGCACGTATAATAGTGTGAATGGCCATGCATTTCTAGTCAGGCTGCACGCAGGCTATGCATTTCATGACCAAACCCTGTTATCAGTCTTATACAGGGTGTATAAAAAAAACGCAACCTCGGAATTTCCTAAGAAATCACTTTGCAATTCTTAAGCATAAAAGATTTTAGGCCCCTGGGAATTGAAATCGAATTGCTAATAGATCATATTACTGTTGTTGTGCATTAAATAAATGCATAAATTTTGCTTTATGCACTCGCGTGTGCAATAATTTTGACAGTTGTGCTATTTTAAATTCCCAGGCGCCTAAAATCTTTTGTCTTTAAAACAATGTCGATTTCTTGGGAAATTCCGAGGTTGCGCTTTTTTTGATACACCCTGTAGTGTTTGATATGTTTATACATTCATTTATACTACAGGGTGTCCCAAAAAAACGAAAACTATTGACTGCCATTCAAATTCTAACAATACGTTATTTCAGAAATAACGTATTGTTAGAATTTGAATGCCTCAGCACTTTGTTGAACCCACTCGTATGCATAATTTCTTTATGCATAAAATGTACTTACGTCAAGCTATTAAAACTTGACGTAAGTACATTTTATGCATAAAGAAACCATTTAAGAAGCTGTTTTAAATTCCCAAGAGCAGAAAATCGTGCGCTTTACAAAAATTTTTTAATTTCTTAATAAGTCAATATTTAATATATGCAGTTATGCACCCTTGTCAATATTTTACGCATCTTTGCGTTCAGCTGAGTGCTAGGGCATTCAAATTTTAACAATACGTTATTTCAATAGTTTTGCGGGGATTTTTGGGACACCCTGTACAGTATTGCCTGAGTTCAGAGTGTATCATGCTGTAATACAGTATGTGAAAATTCGTGGCATTGTTTGTTGAATCCCTGCAGCGTTACACAGATCTGGGTAGTTGATGGCTGTGATTGATTGGATTTAAATACCAACGAACGTCGGACTTTGATTTTCATAATCGAAACAATATTTTCTAGACATTTAACGTTCATTGTAAGTTTTACTTCTATCTGTGCTTCCACGTTGCAATTCTTATTAAGGCTAGTTCCACTCAGGAAAATTACCCGTGGATTGGAACGGACAAGAAAATTTTTCTTTGTGTTAAAGTCATTAGTTCTAACCCAGAGCTCACAAGACAAAGAAAAAATTTCTTGTCCGTTCGAATCCACGAATAATTTTCCTGAGTGGAAACTAGCTTTTAGCATAAAAGATTTTAGATCCCTGGAAATTGAAATCGATTTCTAAAGGCTGCCTCACACGAGAGCAACTTGCTGAGCTAACCGCCTCGAGTGGCAGCTAGCTCAGCTATGTATTTTCACCGCACACGTTGGGAAAACTACTCAACAACAACATAATTAACAAAATTATTTTCCAAATTTATTCTCCATTTTGTTCCATGTCACATGAAGAAACTATGGTTTGTCATTGGCTAAATGATTCAAACAGCTCAGCACTTAGCTCACAATATCCGAAGACGCTGAGATTTTTTCCTTACAATCCGCGAGGTGAAAAATATCAAACACGATAAATATTTTCCTCAAGGCCTCGAGAGGTCAAATCCTCACGAAAACTATCCGCACACGAGAGCTACTAACCGCCTCGCGAAGCGGTTAACTCAGCAAGTTACTCTCGTGTGCGGCGGGCTTTATAGATCATATTACTGCATGTTGTTGTATTTTACTTGTAAAATAAAAACTTATTAAGTGTCATCAAATCAATTTTGCTTTATGCCCTGGCGTGTGCAGTAATTTTGACAGTTGTACTATATTAAGTTCCCAGGCATCTAAAATCGTTTGTCCTCAAAACAATGTCGACTTCTTCGGAAATTCCAAGGTTGCGTTTTTTTATACACTCTGTATTGCAGATTAATATTATAATGAAATCCTCTGCGTGATGTGATTTGTTTACGTTATTCAAACTGAAGAACTTTGTTGACCTTCGAACTCAGCCAATCAGAATCTGCTGAGTTTAACTCTGATCATTCAGAGTCAGAGTCTGAGTCTATGTTACCCAAATATGGGTGTGCAGCTCGGTGTCTTCAAGCAATGCCAGTATGCCACGCATTTTCACATACTGTATTACACTGAGCACAATACAGTCTCTATACAGGCTACTGGTTATTTTGGGTCGTAAATATTTCTAAACTTACCATATTTCATTACAAATATAGGTATCTTTCTACAATCATGCAGGTCAAGACAGTCCCAACATCTACATCCAAAATCATTCAATTTATTTTCTACATATATGCCACCCAAGACAACGAATGGTTCTTAATAACATATATAACGGTATCTATTTCTTAACATTCTACATTTAATATTTTCCCATTTCGTTTATTCCACAAAATAATGTTCAATTAGGCAGTAATTTTCCGTAAAACACATTCGATAGTTCTGTTTCTTCCACTCCGTAGAAAAATTCCTTTGCCGCAGCAACGAACTCGTCGCGACTAATTACACCGTTTTCATTTGAATCGATGGTGTCAAAACAATGCTTGATTTCCTCGTCGGTTATATTGTGCCCGATAACTTTGAAGTAAACTTTGTACTCTTCCATGGATATGGTTCCATTGCTGTTTGTGTCGATGCAATTAAACAGCATATCATGGACTCCTGACGGTTTCTCTCCAGTTGGAGACAGCAAGACAGCACTGGCGATCTTCGCCGCTTCCTCTAACGGTATTTTCACGCTAGGCTTGAGACCCATTAAATCTGCAACCATCGCAAATGTCGCGAAAATAGTTTCAGATTTTTCTTTAGTGATTTCAGAAGTGTATTCTACCAATTTTTTGCCCATGAGCTGAAAATCCTCGCGTGAGATGTAGCCATCTTGGTTGGTATCCATTCTTTGCATACGTGTTCTCATTTTTCTTAAATGATAAGCTTTCTGTTGCTCAATTATAGTCATAGTGAATTCACTGTAATTTCGTAAATTGGCGAAAATTGCTGTATGACAAGCAATGAGTGATCCGTCTGAAGGAATTGCAATGACCACCGGTCATTGACATGCAAATAAGAATATTTGTATATTGATTAACTCACACAAGAAGACGGGATTATATTTAGACTGATTGGAACAATTAAGCCATTTTTGTGGTTATCCTGTCAGCCGTAGCCTCCTCCACATATATGCATCTTTAAGGAAAATGTTGGTGGGAAAAAAAATTGGTGAGATGACTGCAATAAATCGACATACTGTAAAAATTGCACAGCAAAAATTGCCAATATAAATCCGGATATGAATATTACTTCAACTCGATTAACATCTGTGGTACAGTGTGTCCCCCAAAAAAGGCTACCCTTTAAAGTCAAGCGCTAGTGCCGCATGTTCGAATTTGAATGCTTTAACTCCTACCCTGGCCCAGAGGTTTTTTTTAGGTTTGGCGAACGCGAAATGCGAGAAAACGCGCGAAGAAAAAGGAAAAACCTCTGGTGAATTTGTTAGCGATTCCTGGTTCGGATAAAGAATGCAAAAAATGTATAATGGCTTAATGCATCATATTGTATATGTATAATGGCTTAATGCATCATATCCTTGACGCTAGGCCGTCTTATAGACAGGATTTTATCGCATGTTTACTGTCCAGTGTATGCCTGCCCATTTGTAGCAATATTCGTTCTCCTGAATTTCATTCAATTTAAAACGTTACATCTATTCAATTTAATATAAACATATATTTATATTCATTCACTTTAATCTTGCAATATGCATTCAATTTAATCCTGCAATATACATTAAAAAAAATCTGTATTTTATAAATTTATTAAACACACCTCTTTGGGCCGACGTGAACTTTGTCTGTTAATACAAAAGCAAGCAAATTTGTCTTGTAGATTTCAAATGAAACCATTCCTTTCCATTTCGCATTTCGAATAATAGTTTCGGGATTACAAAATGCGAATGTAAACTCTCCATCTAGTATTGCTTTCTCGTCCTCTTCGTTTGACAGTGAAGTAACACGGCATCCACGCTTTCTTAGTTCACGGACGTGAGAATCAATGAAGAGTTCAATTTGCAAATGACTATTAAGATGGGTTTCTCCAGAAAATTGTGGCTTTTGCCAAGTCGTCGTGCTACTCTCGGAGTTAATAGAACTTTGGAATATTAAACTCTTCCCATAACCGATAGCAAGATGCAAATACATCTTTAATGTGAATCAAATTGGACAAGGCGCGGTACTGATGCTCCGTTAAACTTTTAATTCAGGAAATTTATCAATCTATCTATTAATGCAGCCTATAAAATATTTCAACTTTTGCTCGTTTATTTAATAATATAGACATTTCAAAATTCAAATGATTCAATTCAATCAAAACACGAAACGCCTGCGAACAGGCTATGATGTTTACAATATCCAATCAGAACACGTAGTCTATCGAACCTATAGTCGGCAGCCAATCAACTCTTTGCTTTGAACCCAAAAACTACGCCAATTTCACCAGAGGGTTATTCAAAACAGGGAAAAATAAATACCCTCTGGTTCCAGGGTATTTAACTCCCTAATGAGCCCTGGAATGCGTAAAACGTTATACTGTACGTAGTCAATTATATTCATGCATTCCATTCTGTGTTATTTTAGCGGAACAAATTTCAATTAATTTGCAATGCATGCATAAAAATGCTCTGCTATAACGTTTTACGCATCCCAGGGCTCGTTAGGGAGTTAAAGCATTCAAATTCGAACATGCGGCACTAGCGCTTGATTTCAAAGGGTAGCCTTTTTTGGGGACACACTGTACACCTAGTTCCTTAATTAAGGAAAACAAAGAACTTTCTTACTGCATAATACAGGGCCGTAGCTAGCATGTTGGGGGGGGTGTAGGCCAAAAATTTCCGAATGTGGAAAAAAATTTCCGAATATTTCATGGCCTACGAAGCCACGAAGGTGTTTGCTATCCGGAAAATGAGCTATTTAGAAACAAAAATACGCAGATTTTACGCACAGACATATTACAGAAGCATGCAGTACCGTAGGAAGTTCTTTTAGTTTTGGGGGTGAGAACGAGGGCCGAAGGCCCTAGGAAATTTTTAATTATAAATTTAGTGTCGCTGAAATGACATTTCCTGGACTTTGGGGACGTTTTGACAGAATTCAGATGGTCAGAAAACGGCGTTTTAGTATGTCGAAATTGACAATTTGATTACAATTTAGTAGTACTAAATGGGCGAAGGCGTATTTAATTAACTTTATTGTTTAGTTAAAAAAATTTCTGGTTTCTGATAGGCTAACAGCCAACTGTGAAATTGTCATATGAACTCAATGGCTAACATAGGCGTCAAAAGATCGAAAAAGGGATGGGACCATATTCATATATTCGTGTTCACAGACCGTAAAAACAATCGATTTCAAAAGAAATTAATAATGCAGAACACGAATATATGAATATGGTCCCCCCCCCACTTATCGATCATTCGACGCCTATGATGGCTAACCAAATACGGATTTTTCACATTCATATTAGCAAAATGACGTCAAAGAGTCGATATATATGAAAATATTTGGACGCGTTTGCGCCATATTACTATGACGACGAGAATCATATTGTGTCGCTGATGCCATTGATATGACGCGATGGCGGCTGCGGAAGGACTAAGGAATTGTTTTTTTTCTTAATACAAATAAAATACAAATATTTGTTTTGAATTTTTTAAATAAATAATAAAACAATTATTGAATTCGGTTTTCGCACAATGTGAAGAATTATCAAGCCCTCAGTTTGCTGTTATCAACCTCAGCCTTCGGCTTCTGTTGATAACGGCAAACTTCCGGCTTGATAATTCTTCATATTGTGCGAAAACCGAATTCAATAATTGTTAAATATATTGGGGAAGTTTCAGGAAAGTATGGGTAATATGATTCTTTGCAGTTTGTCATGGATAATGTAACCGCTTAAAATTAATTAATCAATTGTCATTATTTTAAAGGTTTATTATTTAAATGATAAAGGTCTGCATGATTTTGAAAAAAGAATGATTATTAGCAAATTGTTGGGAGGGCTGCAGCCCCCAGCCCCCCCCCCCCTGCGGTTACTTCGGCCCTGAGAAGTAATAAACCGAAAAACATTTACCGATTTACGATTTGTTTAATGTTGTCCACGTAAATGCCATGATTTCGTAAATCACTTTATATTGACAATACAACTATAGTATATTTTCTCTGTTTAACAACTAAAATTTTGTTATTCTATTATTGCCGTAATTTTCCGAATGGCCAGCCCGATTTTCCAAGTAGCAGTTTATATGGTGCAAATAAAGGGCGATTATAAAGGCCTTAGTAATACTCTTCAGACTTGCCTTAATTAATTGGGTTTTTATATATGTCCAATATCGATCACTTGAATCGAATGGAAAATAACATTTCAAGTGGTTCAAACAGATCAAATGGACAACAATTTTATCTGGAGTCAGGCTGTGCTTGGCGTCATGTTGTGCTTAGCAAACTTAAGCCAGCCCAGTTCAAGGCTTGTCGAGTCGGACCAAATGATGAAATGGATCCAATAGACGCATTACATAATCCGTACTGCCTGCGTTCTTTAAAATGTTGCCAGAAAATAACAAGAAACATTCATGCAGTATAACCTTCACAGTTCACAGAACAGCCTCTATGAACGCACTAATATATTATAACCTCGTTCTTTTAAAACTATTACACGGCATGAACAACCAACCATTAAGTTCAACCCGTTCACAGTACTGGCTCCATGATCATTCCAGCATGAGCTTGACCTTTGAATTTACCATGCTGGGTGTCCTAAAAAGACCCAAAACTATTAAAATAACGTATTGTTAGAGTTTGAATACCATAATACTGAATGCAAACATGCGTAGAATATTGACATGGTGCATAACTTTATTATAAATATTGACTTATTGAGAAATTAAGATAACTTTGTAAAGCGCACGATTTAGTGCTCTTGGGAATTTAAAGCAGCTTCTTCTGGTGGCTGCCTATACAGTTTACTAGAAAATGGAAGAGCTTCGACTTAGACCAAATTTTTCAACAATTCCTAGTATATGTTAAAAGACAAAGAAAGCCCGACTAGAAAAGTGATAATTACAGAATTGGATTTTTCGAGGGAAAAAAGGAATGGCAAGTGCCGTTACTATGGCAACAATGACGTTTAAATTTGAGTTTCAAGTTATTTAACAAGAAAATAAGGTCGGTTAGCCCCATTTACTATTTCAGAAAAATAATTCGTTTAGTATTTTAATTTTTGAATCATTGTTATGATTTTCAAAAAAAATTGTCAAGCCAAAAAAAAGAATTACGAATTATTAAATTTTCCGATCTTAAAAAAATTGGCATTACAGAATTTTTTAAAAATTACGAAAAAGATTCAACATACTAAAAGATAAATTACTTTGAACCAAAAATATCCGCCATATTGAAACGTAATTGTTGCCATAGCAACGGCTGTTAGGATCAGTGAACTCTACTTATTAGTAATATCATGAAATGAGGAGTATTAGTCATTAAACCACCCGCTCGACGAGGGTCATTTATTAAAATACGGCCCGAGGGAATTTTAATAAATGACCCTCGTCGAGCGGGTGGTTTAATGACTAATACTCCTCATTTCATGATATTACTTTGTAATATTACTTTTGCGTGAATTTCACCCAAATCAGTGTTCAGACACTGTCAATGATGTCGGCGGAGCGTTATAAGACGTTCTGCACTGAAGAGAATGTTGTGGCTTGTCGGATAATTTTGCTCAAACTTTCCAGGTGATGTGGTAATACTAATACGACCCGTAGTGACGTCAACTGAGGTCGTATTAGTTCTAATACGACCTGTACATTTGAGTAGGCGAGTGAATTAGTTACTAATACAGCACAATAGAAAACAATAGCAATTCACGCAAACATGATATTATTAATACTAAAACGATAACTGAAAGTAAACA